GCATAGCTGTTCATTTTTGGTGTTTTATTATTTAGTCCTTAATAAAACAAAATCAAATAAGAATGATTGTAGCTGTTCTAAAATAGAATAAGATCTTTTGATATAAAAATGATAAGGACTGACCATATTTTGATAGTTTAGGAATGTGTCGAAAAGTAAGCCTGTTGCGAGATTTATTTAAAGAAACTTTACATATCAGATGACAACGAATGTTGACAGGTCTTTATGTCAATGAAGCCTCGCTTCATACTCATACAAAATTGTAGAATGTTGCATGACGATTCACTAAGGAATGGCTATTATGTCAGTGAAGCATCAGTTCATATTTAAATGTAACGTTAGGGTTTGCAGATCGATTCAATTAATCCAGGTGACAAGGTGACAAGAGGAAATGCATAAACTAAAGCCAATTACATAATTAAAACTTTCACAAACTACAGTATGTCCAGTTAACAATATTTATTGTATTTCCTTATACAGGAAGCATATTTGTGACTTTTGACGCTAATAGAGACACTGGCAAACAACATAGCAATGTTAAGCAATAATTAATACTATTAGTAATGTGACAAGAAATCATTTTTATCATGCAACTGCTATGGTTACCGCCCGATTACACTTGCCTGATAATTATTTTTGATATCAGGTCAGTAATCTGATATCAAAAATAAGCCCCGCCCATTTTAACGGACTTTTTTCATTGCTTATATTCTCATTTTATAGGCATGTGAATTCTACAATTTTATCTCATACCCTTACATATCTTGAATCAAGATGCGATATTTATTTATTATTTATTATTTCTATTTCGATTACCAATAAATTAGATAGCGAATATCATATGTAAACATTACAAACAGGCTGAGAACTTGTAAATGTCTTTATTTCGCCAAATAATTATTTAATAACTGAACAAATTGTTAAGTTCAAAAATAAGACGCATGTTTGTGTAGCTTGTGTTTGATTGCCGATTTGACTTTTCTTTGATTGAAATTATCGTGAACTTTTGAATTTGACAATTCAAGGAAAAAGTGCAGTAAAGTTTATGTGATTCTTAGGGGATTTTTGGATCGATGTTTAAAGGTAAGAATCTTATCGTGTTACATTCTGTTGTATCTATTATCACAGGAAATAATCTCGAGTCGAAAGAAAAAATGGCCGCCATTTACAAATTCTAAGTTTCAGGGGCGGAGGAATTTGTTTTCAAGAATTATTTTTTTGAACAAAAATGCCACTTTCTACGAAAGTATCTTATTTTGCATTTTTGACAGTTTTATGTGTTACATGATAATTAAAAAAACATGCTACTGTCTTTTGATAACAATTTTTACAAGGCTCGGCTGATATGGGCAGAAATGGCTCGGCAAGCCTTGCCCTTTTTAGCCCATATCAGCCTCGCCTGATAAAATTGATATCAAAAGATAGTAGCATGTTATTCTCTATAATTCAAGGAAAATATGGTAATGCTTCATATGCATTAAATGGCATTTGAAGAACATGCATACCAGGTTTGCAAACCTCATCAGGGTGTCGAACATATAGAGGTTCGATTCTTATTTAAGCGAGGTGAAATGGTGCAATACGAAGTAATGGTGAATTTTAGAATGTAAACATATGTCCGAGTGAGTATATTTCATAAAACTGATTACAAAGACAAATACCGGCTAATTAAGTCATGGCACATTGCTTATCGGTATAGATATTTTACATGTTCATCGTCAATATATAAGTGCTGATGAACCAATGAGTTTTGTAACTGCAAAATGTGTGACATAACAGATTGAAGTTTTGACGTTACAAAAAAGTTATTTTTCATGTAAGGACTGTTTTTATACTGTTAAATGAAAAGTGGTAACTTTACTGTGACTATAAAATATTGTCACATGATAATGCATTATAAAAATAAGTAAATCTAATTATAGTAGATAGTTTATTTACGTTCTGACCCAGCTAAAAACTGAATGTGGAAGATATAAAAGTTAAACGTATGAAAACTTTATGTATTTTTTAATAAACTTGAATCATAACCATGTATAAAGTTATAATACAACTGTATTATAACAACTTTTCGCAAAGGTTTGTTTATTTAAGATAAATAAACCTATGCGAAAAGTTGTTGTTATTATATCCTGTAATATAAAATTCTTTAAAAAAAATTCTTTTATGAAAGTAATATGTTTTAGATTGATAATTGGAAAGTTATTTCTAAAGGTCTGCAGTCTGTAAGTGAGCGTTTCGTTATCGAGCAGTAAGCATTGTAACATAATTTGGACAATCTTGGTCTTTATTATAAAGGTATGTAAAGACTGTCATTAAACAATGAAAAACTGAAAGAAAGACATAATTACATTTTTATTCAGTAACTTACTCGAAATAATCACCCTTGAACATTATAGTAGTCTAATCCAGCATTATCAGTACTGCCACAATAATAATAAAATAATTGCTCATCAGAAAGTCATAGATAAAGAACCTTAAAGATCCTGTTACACAATTTTCTTATGGTTTTAAATCATAAATATGATGCTCAAATTAAGATTTATCAATATTGTAGGTTCCAAAAAGCATTATTTATAAAGATATTAACGCATTTAACATTTCATGTAAATAAAGGGAGGTAATAAAAAATTTATTTTCTATAAAGTTTAAGTCAAATTTTATAAGAATTTGAGAAATGAATGCATATATTTTAATGATTACATATTATATGCACAAATATTTGCAAAACATAATTTACGTATTCTTCGATGTTTGAACATTGTTTTATTTGCACAATTATGTACATATATATAAATTCACTTAAAGTGGTATACCACCTTGATCACAACATACAGGATCTTTAAGCAGTATTGTTTATTCGAACAGATGAGTATGGAGGACTACAACAATACTTCAGATGAGATGACGTGTGTGAAAGAAAGGGTGGCGATGTTCGAAAAAAGTCGTGCTACACCAAAGGTATTTCTTGCTCCATATAATAAGAGTCAAACATAAACATAGAAATTCATCTTGGAATACATGATTCCAAACATTAGTTATTTAAAAAAATAAACTTTATTTTTTCGTTCGTGCTAAAAGGTTTAGTCGAATATTTACAGGAGCACACATTCGTACAAAAACCTTATGTTAAAATTTCCGTATTTGTAAGGTTTAGCTACATGTATTCATTTTTAATCATAACCAGTATGATTGAAACACGTGAAAAGTACTTACCAACCAGTTAGTTAACTTAGGTGTTTGAAACGAAAATACAACAGGAAGTTGTTACTTAACATACTATTTGGATTATATTTCATATATAGGAATTTTAACATATTTAATCTGACTTTTGAACGTAGATTGATATCTTAACGTTTAACAAAAATATTTAACGAAAAGATATTTTTGATGATCCCTAAGTACTCCTAATTAGAAATTAAATGTAAAAAACAGTCATATGAATAATTTAAGTAAATGTATTGTTAAGTAAAGAAAAATAAAACTCAATTTATTCGGTGATTCTGTTTTATAAAAACCACAAAACCGATAATTAGATATGTTGGCAACAATGTAGTACTGTGATTATACCAATTACATTTAGAATGAAAACCGTGTTCAACGCTTGAAGTCTGATGTGGAAGACAGTTTTAAATTAACAAGAGATTCGAAAAGGTCTTCAAATCCAGAGATGGAAACAAAGCATTTGAAAAAAGTATGTATCAAATGACTAAAGCCTTAATACAAAGGTATGGTTGTTAAGCATGATTTATACTAAAGTAAATAGACCAGAAAGGGAATTTAACGAACCTAATTAGTTTATTTGGGAGAGCATTGGAGACAGAGCCACTATTTCCATATTCTGAGATGGGGGGGGGGGGGGTCAAATTTCTCTGTAAAACAAATGAAGTGAGTCTAATGATAATTTGGCTCTCACCGTTGATTCAGATGTCATGTGAGGTAAGTAGTTAGTCACTTGCGGGTAATTTAATGGATAGACTAAATAATAAATTAAATCGACGCAAAAACAGAAAAAAGAGACACACTTTGCATTTGCAACACTGTCGTATTGGTTCTAAAATTTTCCTTACAAGTTCTAAATTTGTTTTAGACATTTTTACGCTACGATATTTACATAGTAACGGAAGTAGCATTTACCGCATATTCTTCGTAGGGCAAAATAACAATAACAAAAGAATAGATAAAATCAGTTAAAACACTTTCAGAAACTTTTGATGCAATCAGAAAGATTAATGATAAATTACCTTAAAATGTACACGAAGGTTTACTAGTTGCATTTTAAAGCACTTAACTCCTAAATTAGAGTTACTATAAACCGGATAACATGTTATTTCATTATACATCTAGGAAATATTCTAACTTCTCAAGATGTTGTAAAATTATTTGACTTAAAATTGTCTGCTTTGCATCACAGTCTAATCGGATATTAAAAGGATAAAATCAGTAAACTGAAAAATAAACAGATGTTCATGAACTTGCATGATCACGTGTTCTGACCCTTTTCAGAATGATTATAAATTCGATTTCATTATTTATATAAATCTCTTTATTTTTAATATGAACTATTTCACCAACAATGTAGTTTACCTCTTTTCTTGTAACTGAATTTAATATCCACATTTTTCACAACAATAATCTTAATATGTGCAAGGGCTTAACAAAATACTCAATCAGTTCGTTTTTTTCATAGCAACGGACAGCATCGTACAAAGGTGTATACATGTATTTTGTAAACATAAATTTTAACGAAAAGTAGATACCCAACGCAGATGTTAAAGATACACGGATAGATTTTTGTATTACAGTTATGTTTTAAAGATTTGCTTACATCGCTACAAACATACAGGTTATAATAAGTAACACTAGAAAAAAGTGAATATTCATGTATATCATATCAATAAAAATAGACTGACGTTTATCATTTGATTTAAAGGTATGTCACCCATTCTTAATGAATGGGGCTTATTAGTGATATTATATTATTTGGCAAATTATAGAGTTCAAAATATAGGCACCTGAGAGTATTTCAAGAACCTTTCTGTTTGGTACGGAATGATGACAATGTATTGTCAATAGTTGAAAGCGTTATGGAAGAAATATCGACCATCGAGGACACTGTTAATATCATTACAATAGCAGGGCCATACAGGACTGGGAAATCCTACCTAATGAATAGGTTGGCTGGCGTTAAACGAGGTATATCTAATTTCACTTTTTGCAATGTGAATGACAGTTGGTATCAATTATATCTGTCATTTACACATGATCATAAATATTGATTAATATATCATAAATATCATTCGTTATATCAAAATACAATTTTATTATTGCAAGTAAGTTAATGTTTTTATTTTAATGTGAGTGTGAAACAAATGATCGTACATTTACATTGGGTGTAATCAAACATTAAGCTTCAAGTTAGCAACAGTCATTTTAATCACGTACCGAAAGATAGTGCATGCAAAATATGTTTTGTATTACACAAATATCATTAAAAAAAGAAAACCACAAAACAGCCGCAAAACCGTTGTCAAAAAGAACCCATTGAAAGAAACATTGCATTACCATTATATATATATTGTTTTTAATATAAAAATAACCGATAGGATTTCCTCTTGGAAATACAACTGCCGCAACGACAAAAGGTTTGTGGGTATGGTGTTTGGAACATCCAGAACGAAAAGATGAGGTTCTGATGCTTATTGACACCGAAGGAATTGGCGATGTTAAAAAGGTAAATTACTACAACAGACATGGGTTATCACAAATAATTGGTAAAACTCGTCATTTTAAGTTGCAATTTAAAATAGACACATGAAGAAAAACACACAACCGGCAAGAAAAAAGACAAGCAACAGTAAAATATATATTCTGAAACATTAAATCGAAGGCAACATATACTATAACAATTTAATTTGATTAGTTAAAAGAAGAAATTAACTTATTAACAATTCTTTAACTGAATGATTTTACTTACGTCAAAATCGTTTGTTAAATGATTACAAACATTCAATTCTATCCGAGATAACATTCAATTCTACCTGAGATACAAACAATAGTAACACATCAAATTGCCTGAAAGAAATGTGCAATACAATTCTTTTAGATATATCAACATTAATAAAGTATTTTTTACATTACGATAATGAATACCATCTGGATATCGATTGTAACAGATCGTCTAAAGACTCTTATAAGAAACTTATACAAAAAATATTTATAATGGTGCACTGGTTCAGACATATACAATTTATTTATGCTCCCTGATGGGAGAGCTTAAAGACGCTGCTTTGTCTTTATTCCGTCCGTCTAACCGTTTGTCCGCCCCACTGTTGTCCGGAGATTCACTTGAAAAGTGCTGAAAGAATTTTATTTTAACATTGCACAGTGAAAAAGACCTTTGTGAGGAAATATAATTTCTAAACTATTAATGATATCATATGTAAACTACCGATGTTGTAGAAACTAAGGAGAGAAAGTGTTTAAAAAGTATTTGAGAAATTTGTGATGGATGCAAATGAGAGAAAAACTTTATATTTACACTTTTGTTTTACAGCTTTTATTGACTTGCACATTAAATACATTAACAAATATGCAGGTTGGGGGAACATCCATCACCTTCAGCGATATTCTTGTTCTTTATTTTTAGTTTTAGAAAGAAAGGAATCTTACTTTATTCTTTTGATAATTGTGCCATATCTTTTCATACAAAATAGGATTATTTAACGTTAAAACATTTCAGGGCGATGAAGGTAATGACAATAACATCCTTTGTCTAGCTACACTTATAAGCGGAACATTTGTGTACAACTGCAGCGGAGTTATTAATCACGATCTTTTGAAAAAGCTTTCGTATCCTTTTGCATTTGATCATACAGCTGCATTTGACTGACAGATATGTTTTTATTTTAAAGACATAATGCCCACCCAATCGTTAAAGTGAGTGTGCCGATTAAGTAAACATAACTTTACATATTGCCATAAATGATAATGATTTTGTATTATACTTCATAAATGTAAACATTACACTGATATTTCTATCATTTCAAATTTATAATTCTACGTTCAAAGGAAAAAGAGTAGTATTCAAACAAGAGGGCCCAGAGGGCCCTTGATCGCTTACCTGAGAAATAGGTCAAAAGGTCACAGTGGAGCCCCTTTCACCTTAGCAGCACAATTTGAAAACCAGGGACAGCTGAATCTAAACAATATTGGTACACTGTAAAATTATTTCAAAATTAAACCAGTGGTTTAGATGTTGTTTAAATGTTTTTTTTTCTAAGTTTAGAGAACAACTTGACGACCTAACATTGCAAATATCAAAGCACTGGGTCTTGCTATTTCGTGAGAAGAGGAATTTTTAAGAGTTTCATAAATTACTCTATAACAACTTATCAGGCCCCGTGTGGGCCACTTTTGATCCTAGGTGAATAATTTAAACAATCTTTACAAAGGACCACTAGATGATGTTATTTACCACATCTCAAAGCTCTAAGCCTATGTAACTCAAAGTAAAATTGACGACTCCCTGGAGGGGCTGCATTTGACCCTAGGGACATTATTAGAACAATCTTTGTAGAGGACCACTAGATGAATCTATTTACCACATATAAAGACTGTACGTCTTGTACATTTTGACTAGAATATTTAAGATTCTCCTTAAAAACTCTATATGAAACCGATAAGCTCCCCTGGCGGGGATCCCTTTGACTCTAGGGACATCATTTGAACAATCTCTGTAGAGGACCACTAGATCATGTTACATACTAATTATCAAGACTCTGTGCCTTGTGGTTTTTCACAAGAAGATTTTTAATATATTTTTTTAAATCGATAAGCCCCATGGCTTTTAAACAATCTTTGTAGAGTACCACTAGATCATGTTAAATACCAATTATCAAGGCTCCACACCTCCCGGTTTTGACAAGAGGATTTTTAAGGTTTCCCTATAACTCTTTATATAAAACTGAGGACCCTTATAGCAGGACCTCTTTCAGCCCTAGGGCCATAAGTTGAACAATCTTTGTAAAGGACCACTAGAGGATGTTACATACCATTTATCAAGACAGTAGGCCTTGTACATTTTGACACGAAAATTTTTCCGATTTTCCTTAAAAACTCTATATAAAACCAATAAGCCCACTGGCGGGGCCGCCTTTTGACTCTACGGACATTTTTTGGACAATCTTTTTAGAGGACCACTAGATCATGTTACATGCTAAAAATCAAGGCTCTATGGCTTTTAGAGTTTAACAAGAAGATTTTTTAAAGATTTTTTTTATAAAAACCTTTTTGCACCCTGGCTGGCCCCTTTTCATCCTAGGATCATTATGTGGAAAAAGTTTGTAGAGGACTACTAGATCATGTTACATACGAAATATCAAGGCTCTACGCCTTGTTGATTTTGATAAGAGGATTTTTAAGATTTCTATATATTACCTTATATAAAACTGAGGAGCCCCACAGCAGGGTCTCTTTTGATTATAGGGTCATAATTTGAACAATCTTTATAGAGAACCACTAGATGATATAACATACCATATATCAAAGTTGTAGCCCTTGTGGTTTTTGACAAGAAGATTGTCCTCATATATAACTTTTTATAAAACTGGTGAGCCCCCTGGCAGAGGCCCCTTTTGATCCTAGGGATATAATTTGAACATTCTTTGTATGACATACCAAATATCAAGGCTCTACGCCATGTGGATTTTGACAAAATTGTCATATATAACTTGATATATAACTGAGTAGCCCTTTGGATGATGTTACATATTAAATATCAATGCTGTAGGCCTTGTGTTTTTTGACAGTAAGATTTTTATTGTTTTCAATCGATAAGCTCCCTAGCGGGGCCTCTTTTCATTCTAGGGGCATAATTTGAACAATCCTTGAAGAGGACCACTAGATCATGTTACATACCAAATATCAAGGCTATGCCTTGTGGTTTTTGACAAGATGATTTTCTCTATATAATTTTATATAAAACAGATAAGACCCCTGGCAGGGCCCCTTTTGATCCTATGGGTATAATTTGAACAATCTTTGTAGAAGACCACTAGATCATGTTATATACCGAATATCAAACCTGTAGGCCTTTGTGGTTTTTTGACAAGAAGATTTTTAAAGACCTTTGTTTTTAAATCGAGTCACCCCCCATGGCGGGACCCTTTTGACCCTAGGGGCATAATTTGGAAATCTTTGTAGAGGACCACTAGATCATGTTACATACCAAATATCAAGGCTCTACACATTCAGGTTGTTGACAAGAAAATATTTAAGATTTTGTTAAAAAAAACCTCTCTTGGTTGCCATCGCAACCAGAGTTCTTCAAGGAATTAAATTCTTAGAGCTTCATGCAAGGAACATGACTGCAAAGTTTTATTGAATATAGCCAAGCGGTATTGGAAGAGAAGTCATTTGAATGAAAAAGTTAACGCACGGATGTACTAACGACGGACGACGGACAACAGACAACACGGTGTCACAAAAGCTCACCTTGTCACTTAGTGACAGGTGAGCTAAAAAAGGGTAATGTTTCTTATATTTTAGACAGTTTTTATGTTGTATCCTAAATAATTTTCATTTTCATCAATCACCGGTCATATTCATCAAATACTGAAAAAATAAGCATAAAGTACGGTGTTCCGTTTGGACGCGTTTGGACAATCGTGACATTTTATTTATTCTGTACCCGCGATGCACGATGGTACGATGGTGAAAACGCGATGGCACGATGGTACGATGGTGAAAACACGACATGCGCATTGTACATCTTTATCAACAATGGATGAATGCATAACTATGTATTATGTGAGAGGCTATACGTATCGAGACATTTTAAATATAGTGAGGCTTAAAACGGGATTTGATCTCACTATTAATCACAGACTATTTAACCCATTACGTTATATACACGCTTTTTAACGCCTTTTTCACCCTCCCCTTTTTGTTGTCTCAATTGGTGAAAAAATGCCTTATTTAGGCCCCCAACACTTGTTTTTGTTTGAGAAATGTTGTTAAAAAAGTGACCTCTTTTTTGGCGCGGCCCCCAACCAAAAGATACCTCAGGGGGTTGCCAGAAGGGGGATGTCGCCAAGAAAATTTTAGACTTGTGAGAGGCTATAAATGACCCCATATTGATCATAAGGTAACGTGTAACCAACGCTGAAAAGCATTTGACTCTATCTCAATCCATTGAGAAGTTGCAGCACTTTGAGATCAATTTTGATGGAAAAAATCAACGCAAAATAATGATTTTTGGCAATTTTGAGATGTCCCCTCGTTGCTATGGTAACAGAAAATTTAAGCCTGAGCATGTTGGTGCAAGGGCAATGGTCCAGTCAACATTTGTGCCAAGTTTGATTAGTGTTGAAGCATTTTTTTATAGTATTATAGCAATTTGAACTTGTAACGGGAGACTTTGCAATGAAAACAGCCATTTTTCACAAAATGCTCATGAAGTAATGGGTTAATAAGTGTTGTGTATTAAGATTCAATCATTATAAAACCTTTATGCACTGTGCTTAATTCATCTTGTTACGGTAAACAAGATGAATTAAGCACAGTGCATAAAGGTTTTAAAATGATTGAATCTTAATACACAACACTTATTAAATAGTCTGTGATTAATAGTGAGATCAAATCCCGTTTTAAGCCTCACTATATTTAAAATGTCTCGATACGTATAGCCTCTCACATAATACATAGTTATGCATTCATCCATTGTTGATAAAGATGTACAATGCGCATGTCCACCGGAAGGCGATGGCACGATGGTGATAACGCGATGGTACGATGGTGAAATCGCGATGGCACGATGGTGAAAACGCGATGGCACGATGGTGAAAGCGCGATGGTACGATGGTGAAATCGCGATGGCACGATGGTGAAAACGCGATGGTACGATGGTGAAATCGCGATGGCACGATGGTGAAAACGCGATGGTACGATGGTGAAAGCGCGATGGCGCAATGGTGCGATGGTACGATGGTGAAAACGCGATGGTACGATGGTGAAATCACGATGGTACGATGGTGAAAACGCGATGTAATATCGCGATTTCACCATCGTACCATCGTGATTTCACCATCGTACCATCGTGTTTTCACCATCGTACCATCGCGTTTTCACCATCGTACCATCGTGCATCGCGGGTACAGAATAAATAAAATGTCACGATTGTCCAAACGTGTCCAAACGGAACACCGTAATAAAGTCATTTAAAGTATCAGTTTTATTTTCATCAAATATTTTAAATCATACATGAAAATTTTGCCTGTCTCTCTTTTTAAGAAGGCCGTTATTTTTTTATATTTTTACTATTTGTAAACAGTTGATAACTTGAAAGTAATAATATATGACATGCTTTTTCACATTACAGGCATGTGCCAGAGTAACATGTAGACATAAAGCAGAACGAAACTTACATAAAACAATGTAATCAAACTTTTATAATCTTAGAAAAATCTTTTTATTCCTTAACAAAACAAAGATTTGTGACAAAACTTTCTGAGAAGATAATTATGAGTGACGTGTTACCAAAAGAAATTCTTGATATAGGTTTTGTCTTCCCTACGTTTGTTCTTTGTCTCCGCGACTTCACTTTTCATATCCCCGAAAATGAAACACCAGACAAATATTTTGAAGATAGTTTAGCTATAGAAACGGACGAAAATCAGACGAGAAGTCAAGAGAACAATGAAATAAAAGAATCAATATTTAAGAATTTTGAGAGGAGAAAATGTTTTGTTTTTGGAATCCCAGCATCAAACCGTAAAACCTTATACAAATTAGAGGAAGTTTGTGATTCAGAACTGAGTGAAGATTTTCGTGCAGACACAGAAACGTTTCTACAGTATATGCTCAGTACCAAACCTAAAGAACTGATTGATGGCAGACCTATAAATGGAAGAAGTATGTTTTTGAAATATACAGACATCTAGCGAATGGAATGCAAAAAGAGAAAATATTTTACTTGTCTATCAAATCTGTTCAAGTACATGTACTTTCTTTGCTTGAACAATAAAAAAGCAATCATAATATTAAATGACCACTGTAAGAATCTAAATATTTGTCTGTGGTAATTGCAATTTAATTTACGCCAAAAACATGACTGTCATACAATAAGCAAGTGTTTTGTAATGTAGAAATAAGGATAAGAATCTACATGCTTGTCTTTAAGAAACAAAATTGAAAATCACAAAAGATAAAATCTCTCCTTGTCTAATGACTATCGAATAGATTGATTTAAAACAAATCTGAATTGTTCACATTAAATATAACTGATTATAGTGTTCCGAACGGTTACACCTGTTTCAAGTATTCTATCTGTTTCAGGGTTTGCCTTTTTGACTCAGAAGTACACAGATTCACTTGCTAAAGGTGAGATGCCGTGTATTGATGATGCCTTGACAACAATGGCAAAAAGGGAAAATGAATTTGCTGTCAAAGAAGCTGTAGAAATGTGTAAAAAGCGAATAGAATCTTTAGGAATCCCGTTGCCTGATGATTTCGTACAAAAATACCAACAAATTCAAAGGGATGCCCTTGAATATTTTCGCGAGAAAGCCGTGCTGGATGATCTACAAGAATTTCAAAAGAAAGCAGAAGTAAAGTTTAGTTTTAAAATAGCATTATATTCAGAAATTAATAACAAACTCTTTTTAAAAGGAAAAGGCAAACATGTGTTTAGTAACTTTATAAAAAGATTATTGAATAAAGAAAAATCATATGCATATCACCAAAATTAAGAAGCGCTACTAAAATGTGAAATTATTTGGCTGAAAGAAAGCAAATTGTTGTATTTTGACTTCCATACAAAATGCATAATCACTATAACTGCTTTGAGTACATAAAAACGCAAGGTGCTAAGGATGGTATAACTTTATCAACAATTTTAACCGGGCAAAATTATAAAAAAAAGAAAAAAAGAAAGAAGAAATATTGGCATTTATGGATTAAATTATTGAACGTCAATTGATGCTGTCTTTATCTGTCTTACACAATGTGCGTTATTCGTAGACAAATATGCAATTTATCAATCTTTTAATTTTCTCCACTTTCTATTTTTATTTGGCTTCAAGTACACTTATTAAAAATACCAGTTCGCCTTGGCTTCAGGCAACGATGTGCGTTCGATAAACTTTGCGGTAATCTGAATATCAGGGCAACTGAAATCAATTTCCGGTTCCAAACTTTTCGAATTTATAGTAACAAAAAATTAAATTCAAAAATAGATATATATATTACATCAACGTAAAGATGTTGACTTATCTATAGAATAATAAAAAAGGTATATCAATTGTGCTATACACTTCTGAAATAATAGTATTTTGTACCCAAATTTTGCTTATATTTTACTAACTGATAAAATTGTTATTATAATTTAAGTCATCAACTCGACTACCGTCTAAAATCAGCTTTCATGTCGTATATCTTAACAAATAGTTTGTTGACTGAATTTGTGTTCTTCATTTTGTTAATGTTTTCTCACGTCCAGATATATATGTATAATGGTTTCTAGGAAGCAATGGATCTATTCAAAATCAAAACGATGAAGGAAAATAAGATCTATCTTCAACAAAAGTGCTTTAAAGAACTTGAGTCCATGTATGACAAATCGATAAAACCAAAAGTCGCTAATGGAACATATTTTGAACCAGAGGGCTATAAAGCATACAGAGAGGATTTTGCTAGAATAAGAGAGAATATCAAGCAAAGTCTACCTGAAGTCGATTCAAACACTGTAAGATATTATACATTTTTAACAAACTTTAATGAAGTCTCATAGTTGAAAATTATAGTGCGAATTTCATTAGAGAAATATTCTTACTTGTAACATATTTCAAATAGTTTTATTTCAAAGTTAATTAATTTTCATACATACGCGCACTCTTCAACGTTCACATTAGTTCTTTATTAATTTTAGGGATGTTTCAATAAACTGAAATGAACGTAAATTCTTTGATATTTTAGCTGCAATTGAGTAGTCTTGAGTTTGAAAACAGATATAGAAAACAAGATGAAGAAATTTTTGCGAAGGCCAGCAAAGATGGATTAACAATAAAAGGTTTAAATATTTTTTTATATGAACAGATAAATAAGCAACAATTACAGAAATACTGAATATATTTCAGATGATTTCAAAATGATTGATAAACCAGTCGACTCCAAATTATTTATACAATTTGAATAAATAAATATGATATTATTAGAACATTCATGTTTAAGGCCAATGCAAAATACGATCCGTATGACTTAAAAATCACCTGAAGCTGTCATGAAATATCTATCATAAATCCTTTTTAAGTACAGTTCTGAAATTGCATTTTGTTTTAGAGGTCTCACTTTTTATTCTTGACTTATCTTTAAGGTGAAGAGTATTTCGATATCTAAAGAATATTTCTTTTACACAGCTGAAATTCAGAAACACATTGAAATCTTGGCACAGAAAAATGATAAACTACTTCAAAAAGAAGATTTGAAGAAAATTTCTGAAGAAGAAAAATGGAAGTCTTTTAAAGACGAGCTGGCATCTGAGAGGGAGAACGAACGGAAAGAACAAGAGGAAAAGTATGCAAAGTTATTTGCCGATTATGAGAAAAGAAAGAAAGATTTAGAAAGTGCAATAAAGGAAAAAGAAGAACTTAAAAAGCTTCTCGAAAATCAACGCTCATCTTGCAAAATTGTAAAGGCCAAACCTGCTATGAAACAAACAGTGTTTAAAACAATGCTGAGCCTAGTCCCTATAGTTGGTCCAGTAATGTCTGGGGTGTATGAAAGATTTTCATCTGATGATTAAATCAAGCGGAAGCAGTTTTATTATATTTGTATAATACGTGACAATTGTGTTAAAACAAACTGATCATAGTAATTGCTGTTGTCTGCTTTAAAAGAATAAAGAATACAAACATTTTTTTACAATATTTTATTTAACATCTTACTGTAAATAAGCATATTCTATTTTTACATTACATTTACTAAACAAAGAAGAAACAATTGGCACAAATATTCAATTAAGATGTTATAGGGTTTAGTTCGTTGGTGTAGAGAAAGAAGAAAGTGAGGAAACAGTCATATTTGCAATAAAATAATTTGTTTCTATTTCGTATTTACATTTACCTTTTTCTTCCGCACATATACTGATGGAAAGAAGTTTAGAAATATTAGGAGGACTAGCATGGAAGAAAGCACAGCTCAAATATATACAAAGAATAAGATGTTTTATTGCCGTCGATACGCATTCTTCTCATCCTATAGTATTGTTAGATAAATTGTGTCTTTCCGGGAAGGGCAAAGGGATCAGACAGAAATATCACAGAAGTCTCGATACCTTGTGTACTGTCCAGAAGTAACAAAAAAATCTGTAATACATCTTTAGCTTAAGTCGAAAACGTGCTTTCTAACTACCTGCTTAGGGATACACGCGTAATGATATCGAAGAATGCGTTCAATTTCACGTACGCCAATGACATAATGATGTTCTCTTATATTCTGCTGTAAATGATCGCACAGGTGTTCGATTGAAGAAACCACTACCGAAACGGCTACGTTAGATGACGTTATTACTGTTCAATCTTTCGCCTTTACTTTTCCTTACGCGTACCCTGTCTGACGGTGTCTTGGCGTCAATAGATTACAAGCTTATGGTCGGCATGCTTTGAGTCGTGCGTCACGCTGTCTGTTCCTGATCGTTTTGCCACAAACTCTAGATGAACTCGTCATGATTAATTTCCTGATAAGTGTAAGGTATTCTATTTTTAAGCTGTTTTCTACTGATTGAACCTATTGTCTTAAAAACAATTAAATCAGAATACAGGAATGGTGACTATAATAAATCAAAAAATATATTACCACTAATTGAAAAAAGAGGTCTACATATTTTCTCAAAGCCTTTTCATGTTATAAATGACAAGGCAACTAATTTCTTATTCATCTTATTTTTCTTATATACTTGTATCTCTATTTGTTTTGTTTTTAAGAGTTTTAAGAGAAAGCGATCTTTTACAATCTATAGATGTAACTTATTTCGCTAACCTAACTAATATCTTAAAGCATTATTTATAATGTAATTATTTAGCCGGAGAAGAATTAGATATTGTAAGTGTAACGTTTGGGCTAACCCTTTTGTATGTACATTGTTTCTATGCTACATCATATTGCTGAAATTGTGTTTATGTATCATGTTCAAGTAAACAATAAAATATTATTAAAGAAATCACCATTTAGCTGACAGAATATAGATTGTTGTTTTTTCTTCTCATTATGAAAATATAAGCCTTATTTTAACCAATTCTTTGTCACTTTAATTGATAGAAAACATGATGTAAATAGTGTTTTGGAATTATATACAAAAAAGGAGAACAATCGGCTTTAAATAATTACATTAAAATAAATAGGCACGCTTTGATGGAAAAGTTATTACTATAGAAATACTCATCGAATACCAGAATGAAACGTTACGCCGATTTAGTAACGAATATGCCGATAGTAAATATTGAAGATTTCATATTGTTTACATTTCGGACAAATTCCTTCAAGAACTTAATTTATGTATAGTCAATGTTTGTTTAAGGTCAGAAATCCTTATGTTATCAAATCATGTTATTGTGTATTAGGGATTTTCTCAGGGAGAACAATATGGTCGCCAGTGAAATCCTAGATTTCAGATATAGAATTCCAGCTGTCTTTCCACTGGGGGGGGGGGGGGTTACGGATATCAGGTGTTCTATTGGTGCATTACCAACATAGAATATTTAAAAGTCAGAACCTTGATTATGTTGCCACTTCGGTCTTGATCTTCAAGTATAGAAATAAAGTTTAAGAACCCGCCAAACTTTCAAAGTAAACAAATGTCTTACAGACGTCATTGGTATCAAAACTAGTAAGTTGGAATGTATTTATTTACTCACGGTTGTTCCTGAAAAACGTAATGTAACCTAAGCTTAGGCTAGGACTTGTTTAAAATTACCCTTTTCCTATCCTGACATGTTTACGTAATAGGAAAAATTTCTATTAATTCACAATCTGGAGGTAAAAAAGGGTAGGCACGATGATATTTCTAAAGAAGATAGGAAGTCCCGAAATTGTTCATTACATTTGGTGGAAACAGAATATTAGAATAATATCACTTATCTAAATGCCCAAAATACATGTATAACAATGTAAGTAGTAAATACTTAAAACCATATTATACAGAAGTTCTAAACACTACAGGCTTATAAATGTCAATTTATTTGGTTTAATGGCACACCAACACAGTCTTGGTCATATGTCACCGAAACAGGAAAGATGAGTTCAGCTCACCTCAGAGGCCCAAACCAAATCAGCTTCTGGAGCTAAGACTCAAGTTATTCAAACCATTTAATATGTCGCCAAGTCGAAGGGTTAAACGATGGCTAAAATTATGATAGCTTAACACGTAAAAATTCCCCAGCCACAGGGGGTCCTTATCAGAGCTGCATTACTGGTACTGGTACTGCAGTAGGTACTGCAGCGATTTTGCAAGTACTGGTACTGATACTGAATTACTCTTACAAAATTTTGCTATTACTGGTACTGGTACTGCATTACTGTCTTAAAAAGTGGTACTGCTACTGCATTACCCAGTACTTTTGGTTTTGATAAAAATTTTAAAAAGCATCATTTTTTCTCATAAAATAAAGCTGTAAATTACATGAACTATATTTTATTTTTGTGAAAAAGTAAGTGATAATTTGCTGCAATATTCCTTCAAATGTTAACATAGTATTCATCATAAAAAACACCAAAGACTTTAAGTAAAAATTAAATTAAGATAAACAGACTCAATAACTATTTACTCTAAAATATCCTTATTAAAATCTTTTATTACTTCGTATTCACTAGTAAAAGAGCAAAATAAACACTAATTAATTTCTTCTATTCTAAATAAACCCATTTCAAGTGAAAAAAGTGATATTGTAGCACCATAAAAAGTTGTTATTTACTTTGGTATAAATTGAACACAGGTGTGAAGGTGTGAAAGACTGTTGCATTTTAAATGAAAGATATTGGCATTGTATTTATACAGTTGACTGGTTACTAAACAATTAGATATGACATGAATATATGTTGTAAATATTGTTTGTAAAAAGTATGTTTAAACTATAAAGTTGTAAACATGTTATGTTAACTTTAAAATGAATTATGATTTTATTTCTTTGCTGAATAATATTTGCAATAATTTGTTTGACACTGTATTTATTCAAACTTTGATGAATATATATATTATAAAAGTAATGGTACTGATACTTAATTACTTCACCAAAAAAAAGTACTGGTACTGCAGTACCGAGCTAAAATCTAGTACTGGTACTTGTAATGGTACTGCATAATTTGCCAAGTACTGGTACTGGTACTTAAGTACTACACCCTTAGTACTGATGCAGCTCTGGTCCTTATGTCAAACACATACCACGACAATAAATAATCTGGCAAAATATTTGTTCCCTGCATTCAAAGAAATATAGCTAAGCATTTTACTACACTTGTGTTATTATGAATTGAATTTGCAAATGGGAGATAACCACAATAGCATTATGGAGTATGCTTACATCGGTTATTTCATTATTTTTTAGTTTACAGATTGACGTTGATTATTTTCATAGAGTAGGTCTTCATATTTTGATAAACAAGTATTTACTATTACAAAGCAACCACTCACTTTCTATGGCAACCATAGACTTGAATAGCAACCATTAACTTTCTATGACAACCAAAGACTTGCATAGCAACCATTGTCTTTCTATGGCAACAATAGACTTCCATAGCAACGTATGATTTCATTTCCAAAGCAACCAGTGTCTTTCACTAGCAACCACTGCCTTTCAATGCCAACCATAGACTTTCCAAAGCAACCACTGTCTTTCATAGCAACCATAAACTGCCATTGCAACCACTGACTTCCCATAGAAAAGTCTGACTTTCCTTAGCATCTAGTGACTTTACATAGCAACTATTGACCTACATAGCAAACAGAGACTTTCCATAGCAACCATATACTTCTTAAGCAACTTTTTCATAACATCAAGTTACTTCTAATAGCAATCATTGATTTCTCTAGCAACTTAAGACTTTATTTGGCAACTATAGCCGCCAGTTACTTCCCATAGTGACTAGTGACTCACATAGTAACCATTTTCACAGCAACCATAGTCTTCCATGGTAACCTCTGACTTTTCATTGCAAGTATTAACTTCTATAGCAAACAGTGACTTTCCATAGCACACTAGAGACTTCTTAAGCACCTATTGACCATAACTTCAAGTGACTTTTTGAGAATTGAGTACCGCTCAGGCCGGTGCTAAGGGGATGTTGCATATTTTTATTATCCCTCATGTACAGATTCAATCAATCCGAGTCTGCAATTCTCTTGTAATTTTGTTGTGATTAATGCCTCCGAGGGATTACTTTGTTTCCAGATTTTTACAGCAGCCATTGACTTTTCATAGCAACCAATGACTTCTGTTTTAACCATTGACTCTCCATAGCAACAATTGATTTTCATTGCAACCACTTAATTTCCAGAACAACCATAAGCTTCTTTGCCAACCGGTGAATTTCTTCAGAAACCTTCAGACTTCCATAGCAAACAGTAACGTCTAATAGCAATAAGTGACTCAGATACAAACCATTGAATTTCAATAGCAACAAGTGACTTTCCTTAACAACTACTGACTGACATAGCAAACAGTGACTTTCCATTGCAACAATAGACTTCTTTAGCACTCATTGACTGCTTGCTTTCATAAACTTCAGTGACTCCTATAGCAACCAGTGCCTTCATAGCAGCCATTGACTTTTCATTATAAACTGTAAATTTCCACAGAAACAAGTGACTAACATATCAAACAAAGACTTTTTACATAGCCACAAATCACTTCCATAGCAAACATATACTTCTCTTTGCATGATTATGTTAATCTACCATTGAGCTTCATAGCATTCAGTGATTTCCAAGGAAATTCAATGATAATTATCCTTATTTCTTTATACATGACAGGGCAATGAGTGTTTTAGCTAATATATTAAATTTGTTATATAGGGTTGTTTTACGAAGACGATTGAGTAGTTGCCTGTAATAAACGAGCTTATACATAATTTGTTTCCAGTGTTAATATGAGACAAATCTTCACTTATATAAAAAGCAAGTAAAGACAGTTGTTGATTTAATCAATTTCAATATGTAAAATGATATGTTAATAAAATATTAAATGTCAACAAACCAAATGTTACCTAATCTGCTGATAAATTTAAAGATTGTGACATTTGAAGAGCTGGTCGTGACTTACCGCATGTCCTTATCTCTTTGTGAACAGTGCCTGTGATCCCAGTTTCGACAATATTTTCAACGTTATTACATCTTGATTCAATATTTCAGAAATGTTTCGTGTCGGATTTCTATTTGTTTTGGCAATTGGTAAGTAAGTTTAATACAAGAGTTTCTTGACAAGGCCTCTTTTAAGTATGTAACAATAATTAAAAAAATACTTCGTAACGTGTCTTGAAGTTAAATATGACATTTATTCTAGAAATTGAAAAATGCTCTTATATTAAATAATTATGTGTAATTTACTTTGTGATTAAAATGATTGAGTCGAGAACAGATTGTTTTTCACATTCCATGTCTATTTTGTTAAATACAGAACATAAAGTTTTCTATTGCATTGATAATGTAAAAGTAATCTTCTTGACCTGCTGGATTTGTCCAACTTTGACTTTGGAATCGTCCATTAAAATATATAAAAATAACAATGAGCTGTCTGTTGTATAGAGTCAGGTAGTCTTGCAGACTGATTCTGTACTGGTATCAAAGACAAGACCCTTTGATTTTAGCATACTTTATATTTAAATATGTATGTCTCGGGCAACAAAAACGATTTGAAATATTTACAATGATAATCTAGTGATGTCTGCATTCAAATTTAACCTCGACAAATACAGGTTTTAATTCTTTTGATATTAAATGCATCATTAATTTTTCGTGACTTATGCTTTTTGTTTTCTGTTATACCTTTTTCCATAACTACTGTTAGTACAAGGAAACAGATAAAAGTTTACATAGCATTATTGGAAAATTCATTCTTATGTAAATATTCATAAATCAAATAATTTAATTGCTCTCAATAATTAAGTTGATCTTGACAAACTGCATTTTAAATATATGTTGAACTCTGGTTATGTTTCGTTCATGATTAAAAGCATAATGTGTCATGTAATTAAAGTAAACCATCATAACACAAGTTTCTATTTCAATGAGTCAAACTAAACTTATTGTTTATGATCATAAATGTGTTCATTGGCTCCACATGTACTTGAAACAACTATTTTAAATGCTCTATTTGGGCTAAAATAAGAATTATTATAGTATATAGCCTATATATTACATTAAAAATAGTTTGTTTCAAGTACCTGTCATTGATTCATATAAGACAGAAACAGTGATGTTTATTGTGCTCAATAATTATCAGCCTATGTCGGTAATATTTACTATATAAATGAATCGTGCTATTTATCACATACACGTGCCGTTTTTGCGGTAATGCATAAATTTTGACGAGACTTCATAGCGTTACATGTTAGTGTTAAACTATAGACGTGCCAATGAATATTGTTTTTTATCACTTCAAACGGTCTTTATTTTTGGTATCTGATAAATAGAATATTAAATTCGTGTAAGTTCTTTACTAAATTTATTAAACTCGTTGAATATAATAATATTATGCTCCGCCAGAGACTCGCATAATATAATTTTTTTCAACTCGTTCAATAAATTCAGTATTAAACTTGTATTCAATTAATACCCTATATATATATATATATATATATATATATATATATATATATATATATATATATATATATATATATATATATATATATATATCACACATTGGACTTATACATTGAGAGATCCACAAAAACTACTTTAGCTCTGGATCTATAAAAATGCAAACGATATAATGTAAACTGTATAGATTCATCTAACAATAAAAAAATCGATTTGTACACAAAAATAACTTCTAAGTGTACATTTCTGCAATTGTCATGATTATGGTAAGCTTACAGCTTTGTGCTTGCTTTCCTATTGCAGATGCTTTATACGTTTTCAGCCAAAAATGCTTACTGCCAAGACGGAATCGTTGCTGTAGCACATTTTGATATGGCGGATCAAGCAAACATTGCTTATGAAATGATTTGCCGATATTTACATACGCACTATATGGTTTGTGGAACATTTCGACACATTTCACTCTAAATTCCCTTTTAGCTGCATGTATTTGGCTTGCAATGGATTTTTATACGGTTCATTAATACTTGCCTTCTCGTCAATATACTGTTTCTTCTGCATGTAGATACTAAACATTTGCGTTAATGAAAATATCACATGTACAGTGTTAACCGCATAAAATACTGCAAAAAAATGTATGTCAATTTCCTATAGTCAAAATGAATATTTTAAAACGTGCTTAAAGTATGATCTTAACATTTTGCGTATTTTATTTAATGACGTCAATATGTCTTAGCTTGCTTAGCGCTTTAATTGCGGACCTAGCACCGAATTAGCTATAGAGCAATTTACCGTATACCTCCGAAAGAGGTAGCTCTATCATATACCAGGCGTGCTATAGTTCATATAGGTTTACACTCATTCATATTCAGTTTTGCTCAGTTTTTTGAAGAATAATGATGTTAGAGATTGGCAGATATCATTATATGAATTTAATGATATAGTGTTTATTTCATAAAGCCATTTTATGTCAAGTTTCATTTAACAGTGACTTTAAATGAAATATTTAAATATTTGCGAAAAGAAAATATTTTTTATTATATTCCTTTGCACATAGAAAATTATTTGATAAGTTGTGATATTGAAATTGAATAAGTTATATTGTAAATATGGGCTTATTTTCCTTTACTTTCATATATTTGTTTTTCTCAAACTTATAAAATATTGTGTGTGAAATATCTTGTAAAAATGTCTTCATTGATAGGTCATGGTGTTGAAGGACATATCAATGTCAAGAGCGTGTGTGGTGCTATGGCTTATAATATCGTGAGGTACCAGCAACTGAATATAATGCAGTATTTTGTACTTTGCTAAGGGTTGGTCAACATTGATTGTAGCATCTACGCAAAATCGCAACCTTTTATTTTGCAGTTTCTACATTGACCTTTGTTGGTCGGATGTGACATTTTCTGTTAAAATATTGACCTTTATAGGAAGGAGGTGACATTTCTTAGTTATAAATTGACCTTTATTGGTCGTTGAAAATTTATTATTATGACTTTACATGGTCGGGGTGAAGGACTTTAAAAGTTAGGTTGAGTATTGACTCTCTCAAGATCGGTGTAGATGATATCTTCGTGCGGCATTATGCATGGTGTTTTAGACAGCAAAATATACTGTTAAGTTGAGAGAACGATAGAGACATTATATGTGTTTTTGATATTTTTTTTCTAAGAATGTTTCCCGTGACAATACTTGAATTTCTTAACTACTTTACTGAACTTAAATTCTATGACTATTTAATAAGTAATACTCTATATAGGGTTAATTCACGTTTTTCCGTATTATAACGTCTGCAGAGTCCCGAGGAAAGGTTGGTGCCCGAGCCCGGTAATGCGAGTGCTCCAACAGTTCCGAGGGACTCTGCAGACTTTAAAACACGAAATAAACGTGCGTTGACGTTATTATATCATAAATTTTTAAAACAGATTCATGATGTATATTTAATACAAAACACATATGCATAAAATCCTTGTGCTTGGACGGTATTTATCCAATTCTACATGTTTTGTGTATGCGTTTTATTTTTCCGGGGCTAACAACTTGGAAAATACAAATGGTCAGAGCCGAACAAAATTTCGAATTTTAATTGATTTAACAAAGCTTAACATTTGAGATTTATTAACCCAAGAAAAAAAAAACCCATTAAATTACTCTACCAAGACAAAACATGACCCTCAGAAAATCCTAGAATGATTTCAAATTGACTGTAGAAAAAAGATCAGTGACATCAGAATCTTTTTATTTTCAAACACAACAGTTTATAAAAAAACACACACACTAGACATTGTTCTATCAAAGAAATGAAGAAAGCATTTATCAATATAAACAAGAATAAAATAACATTTTCTCATATTCATTTTGTGTTAACTCAATTTGTTAGTTAATAGGAGGGTTAATCTGAATGACAGATATTTGTTTACATTGACAACTGTCCGTTTCTTAGAAAGGGCGACAACCAAGATACTCGACGATGTCTATACGCCGTATTTCCGGCATAGTTACTTGAATGTTGCTCGCCATTATGCGATTGAAGCTCCGAATCAATAATTTCAATAAAACAAGAGCGCTTGACCCTTTGGAAAACAAGCCAAATCGTCATTTTTTTGTTTGTTTACTGGGCCCTGTATTATTGCACATAGGTTAAACCGGGCTATAAAAAGACTATGTTAACACATGGTTTTGGTCCCGTTATAAAATCGGCAAAAGAGGGATAAATAGCCGATTTTATGCTATATTATTTGATAAAATTACAGAATAATAGTTACTGTAAATCTATTGGATTTAATTGTATAAATAAATTTGTATACACGTATACGTGTAAAAGGACTTTTTTTTCTAAAAAAGTTATTTTAGTGATAGTACTACCCACTCTGGTCATATCTTACTTGACAGTTTTAAATGTGCAGCTGTGGTGTAACAAATGGACACAAATTGCAGTTTCAAATTCTTTTCCGAAAGGTCTTATTATTACCTCTAGGTCTCGTTCATGGCGATGCTTGTCCGTACGTGAACACACTAGACTGCAAGACAAGGTCGACAGAGGTTCTATGTGGAACTAATGGAGTATCATATGACAACAAGTTTGTATTAAATTGATTTATGTTTTATATTGAGTAATACGCAATTTAATTATTGCATTAGGACTTTATATTGCATTTAACGACAATTCAAAATAAAAGTTAATGGAATCTTTGATTTGTTTCATATGTTCATACAAATTGCTTTATATCACAGTAACACGATTTTTGTGTCATCATAAACATTTTTGTCCATTTCTTTTCTGTTAATTTTCAATATTCAATATTTGTTTCAAACAAAACTATTTGTCTTGTATATTTCTGTTTAATTCGTAAAGGGTTTAAATGTTCTTTGTAAATATGAGGAACCGGAAAGGAGTTTGACTTGGAGCATGTGCTATTCACAAACGGCTATGTAGTATCAAAAGTGTCATATAGAAATGTTTTGTCATACAACTCTTTGTTACGTCGTAAAGGCGGTAATAGCTACAGTACTGAGCAATTTAACTATGCTTCTCCATCACTCCATATTTCCAATTTTAAAAATCCATTCTTTCCCCGAATGACATTCAGAACAAGACAAGTTTATTTAGCACGATTTAGATTTAAAGTTAAAACTTTTAAACTTCAACAATGTTTTAAGCAAGCCATGAATTTTTACAACAAGGTAACGGTGCAAAGTAAATATTTACCTGATTTTAGTCAAAGCTTATGTAACCTTTAAACACTGTCATTCCGTTGACCTTTGTCATAAATATTTATGACATATTTTCTTCTTTTTTATACATCGGCTACCAATGCTGTTACTATATCGCCTCCAGATTCATTCTAATTTTCATAAAAAATTTGAAAATGTGTTTAAAAGTATTATTCAGTGAAATAACCAAAATGAAGCAATTTACACAATATTGATGGCACTTACAACCCACGTAAATTACTAAAAAGAGGACGAAATATGCAAAAATAACCCTTACTGCGTTAGTAACGCAGTAGAAATATAGTTATAAATACTAAAAAATCGGTCATTAATCGCACATAACATGTAAATCATTACTAGAACTTTGAATCTTTACACTTTTCCTAAAATCTTAGTACATTTTTCTCAGGTTTGATTTTATTGAAATATTTTCGCTCATCTGGAGGGGTGCAGCTTTAATGGTACCATGTATAAAAATGATTCATTCGTTCAAGGAAAAAATAAAATATGATACGTGAAAAGTTGACCTATTACAATGTTCATTAACTATTCAACGGTTGAAAATACCTTCACTTTAATCGAGACTTGCTCTCTGATATTTATAAAGTTAATTACAATTCTCTGATGAAACCTTACAAAATCTGTTGTTTTCATCTGGAAAGGGTAAGACTCTATTACGAAAAGATAATCGGTCTTTGTGACACGCCTCATGAGTGGTTACCAACACTGGAGTTGGACAAAGAGGTCTTTTAGAAGGTCTATTAGAAAAAGTTCCAGAAAGGTTTCATAACTTTTGTTATTTACAAACATATCTAGGTAACATCACGGTTTCTTTGGAGAATTATGCTTATGACGCGGTTGAAAAAAATCACCATTTGCATTAATGCACATTCAACAGTATATATGGTAACGTAAGGTTACGTTGAGCAGGGCAACGGACCTCTCGATGAGATACAGGGTCAGGAAAATCGGTCACACGCATAAAAAATTAGACCTTTTCGAAATAGTCTCCAATACACGTTACACATTTTTTCTCATCTATGAATCCTATTTTAAAAATAGGACATGAACTGATCTTAGGAACTTTTACGAATCGTTTCTCGATCAACAATTAGCAAATCATGACCGTCATCAAACCTCTTGCCGTACAGCTCTGATTTCAAGAACGGAAATAGCCAGAAATCGCATGGTCCTAGATCTGAGGGATATTCAGGATGTTTTATGGTGTCAATTCCTAACTCTCTCAGTGATGTCTTTGTAACAGCAGAGGATTGGGGAGGTACATTCTCATGATGTAATACGAAATTGCCATTAGGTTGCGGATTTTTCTTCTTCACAGCACACACCAGATCACGCTTGATAACCTAACATTAAGATAGGATCTCTCATACCAAATGAGATATAAAAATGAAACATTCTATTCTGAATTATTTTAGATGTTAATTCTAAGCAAATACACTTTCTTCTGAATAATACAGTGCTGTGACCGTCCTCCCTGCCAGTACTACATTGCTCAGAATTACGTCTCAGGCATCGAAACAAACGATGAACATAAGTCTCTTTGCTGAGCGGATCACCAAGGCTTTTTCTGGTAATTGAGATGTTGGATGTTTCCACGTGCACAAATCTTGCTTATTTTTAAGGTCATAAACATTAATCCATGTTTCATCTGCTGTGATAGTGCAGTTGATGAAACGTTGTCAAGGATAAGATACTGTTTCAGAAATTACTTGTCATCTGCAACTCTTGGCAGTTCCCGTTCCAGTGTCAAAATACGAGGGATCCAGCGAGCACATACCATTGAAATGCCGAGCTCCTTGCTTACAAGAGAATTAAATGGACAGGTGTCAAGCCCGACCTGAGCAGCAATGTCTCGCAACGTTAACCTTCTATCACTTTGCAACACTCTATTTTTTCACCGATGTCGTGTTACCAGATCTTTGGCGGTCGGCAACAACACGCGTTGAATCATTTGTTTGAATATATTGTACCACTTATATATGCTTGATTTTTTGCCGTAGGTATTCATTATCATTAGCACCAAAACTTTTTATCGCTGCTCTTGCGCCCTACTTGCAAAATAACTACAGCGAAGTATTCAAATTCTGTTGTATATATATAAAGTCATATTGAAGCCGATGACGTTACGATCGTAAAGATAAAAGTGCGCAAAAATTCACTTTCAATTTGGTTAACTTTTAACCTCGGAAAAACAATGTTTAATCTCTTTTGAAACGGATAAATATGTGACCATTTACCCAATTAAACGAAGTTTCCAAACTCGACGTCACTCGACGTTGCAGTAGTGACTGTAAGTAACATATTAGTATGAATTATTTACCTTTTTCTAACAGCCCTCGTATTTCTTAAACGGAAGAGTTTGGTTGAACTGGATGTAAAATGTAAACCGAAAACTATTTGTTATTCTTTCATGAATTGTGCATAGAGCCATATGTAAAGCACAACAAAGGTAACCTACAGACAGCTTTGTTTTTATGGTTACTATTACAATGCTTTTTGGCTTTTTTTCAAAACCCACTGTCTAGCAACAGAAATTAATACCGAAAATAAAGAATAGTATTCAGCTATATTCTTATTTAATACTGCTAACAGCGAGTGTTATATGGATTCCTAATAAACTCATTTGTATGAATGACATAACTACTAAGTTAGGTGTCCTTCAACTTAACAAACGTATTTTCTATAGGTAAGATGTAAGTTAATTTCCATTTTCTTCCTGTTTGCTGCCGCTATGCTTTCGTTTCGAACTCAAGGATGAAACAATGAGAAAAGGTAACATCGTTAATTGCCGACATGAAAATCATTTTCATGCATCGTACAGGGATATTTATGCGACTTTGTCTTTGATAAGGACTATTCGTTCATGTTCGACACGGTACATGTTTGTGGAACGAATTGACAGTCATACAGGAACACAATAGCCCCGTTTTGATACTCAACTACAATAAAATCGGTCATTGCAAGTTTCCTCTCATATCTTTTATTAACTTCCTTTTGTTTGTATTATAGTTGTGCATCAAGTTACGACAATTCTGAATAATTTTGACATTTTTTTCTTCAATAACTTTCATTCTATTACTTGCCCAACTTCATATATCGGATATGGTGATGTAATTACATTTCCAAACCTTAAATTTACTTGAATGACGCACTAATGCCGAATGTAAGACTACCAACGTTCGTGCTTGAAGAAGGCATAAATTTCCACTCTGTACACTTTATGAATGAATGAAATAAAGTATAACACCATTTATGATAGCTGTAAAATGTAAAAGGGCTATAGTCACGCTGCAATTGATATTCCTAGACTTATTAACTTTAATATAAGTTTTTAAACTAATATTCTAACTATCTAAGAAAAGCTCAGAGTAAAAACAGATCGAAATTGATTTCAAATTATGCAAAATACCATTTACATGTATAAATTCTTTTCGCTTTTTTGTAATACTGAATTTGATTCAATCATTATTCAATTCTATAATACTGTAAAATAATCCACAAACATGAAACTACGTATCATATAAATTTATATTTTACTGCCGCAAAAAAAATTGTATTACGTCAACATTATTTTTTTTCTATTAAAGCTGTTACATGGCCAAGGCTTATTGTGCTGACAATACAATTCATAAAGTACATGACGGCGCATGCGCAACATCAACCACACCCTCACCGGTACATGGAAGTGAGCTTGTCCTTGATATTTTCTGTTTAGAGTTGATTCACTTTAAATGTCCTGCCGGCGGGTTAAAGATCTGTGGAAGCGATGGAACATTCTACGAAAATATGTACGCCTTTTTCAATTTTCAGAAAATTGAAAAAAAATCCAATATTCAAACGGAGCAGCCTTAACTTAAAAACATTTAAACTTTAATGTTTACATTTAAATAGATCTATAGAAACACCTTGTCATTCTAAAAAAATCTATTAATCGGGAATATCGAAATTTAGATGATTTTATCAAAAGGCTTCAGTTTAGTTTAGATGATGGAACACATTTTTGTCAGAGTGATGAATACTGCATCCGGTACTGTTCTGCTGTTTTTTCCATTGTTTTTTAAATTTTAGCCAAAGATTATAACTACTAAGTTCTGATATTGAAAGTCTTCATAAAAATTCCAATATCAAGAAACAAAGTGTAAGAAATGTTTAATAACATGTATGGTTGTGATGTAAAATTCAAAATGCAATTGTCTTTTGACCCTGTAATCTGGTTTAGTTTATACTTTTTTTAGATGTGAGTTTGACAAAGCACGCTGTTTCCACCGAACTCTCAAAGACAACGGCGCCAACTGCTCTTAAACGATTTAAGGATTCTTAAATGATTAGCTGTAAACAGAAATAATTAAATTTATCAGACACATTTTAGTTATATTCTAAAAATTACTTCCATGATTTCCATTTATTGTAGCACACATGTTCTTATGACCGTAGTGCTTTTCAAAAAAATGTCAATCAAACACCATATGTGTATATAAACCTTTTGAATCCTCTGAAAACGAATGACTAGTAAACTTATTTTTTCCTACAGCAGCAAAAGTGTTCGAATTATGAGCGAGCACTAATTGCATATATTTAACTTAAAGTTATATGCTTAGTATAGTATTAAATAAAACTCGTATGTGGATTATTAAAGCAGCATAGATCCTGATTTATTCTATGTTTCATGAAAATACATTGAAGTAAAATTTTTTCTAGTGGACGAGGAAAGTAATTTACACTTTGCAAATGACACTAAAAATCTACGACAATGACCAAAAAATAGTTCAGAATATGCAAAAAAAAGTCCTTAATAGTCACGCAATTCAAAAATGGTGAAAAAATGAAAAATTACTCAGTAATTGCACTTAACATGTGAATCAAACGATGCAAACGCAGACTTTCCATGTACTTTATGTAGCAAATTAGAGATTAGAGTTATTGAGCAAGGAAGAAAGATCAGATGATTCAGGGAAGAAAATACGACAACACACATGGGTCATAAACTACGAGATCATTCATTAATAATTAGTTATATTTATGCAAGAAACTGCCTCGTTATAAATTTTTGGGACAGCCCTGAAATATCAGTATTAAAAAAAGCTTGTTTACGTAATTCAGAACCAGTAAAAAAGTACAGTGCGTACTGAAGTATCAGTACAAATATCGGTAATGCATTTTGGCCTTTCAATTGCAAGCAACAATAACACAGTTCTGTAAAATAGAAAACACTTGAAACAATTAAGAAATTTAAAATTGGCGATTTTTAATTTTAACAAGTTGTCAAAAAATAATTCTTATCGAATACAGTAAGAAAATCAATGCTGTAGGAGAGGGTGTTGTAAACAAGTTATTTTAATTTAACTCTTGTGACCAACTTGTTCAGCAAACCATACCAGTTTCAGCAGCTGTGGCAGAGGACAACCTACCTAAGATTATTGAGTATCATCAAAAGGTGTCAAAGTCAAGAATGAAAAATGTAAAGAACAACCAAAACGAACGACAAAGTTGAAAACTGTGTGTTTTTTATCAGTTTTTTCGTGGCAACTAGAGTTCTGCATTGGAAAAGAAATCTTTTAACACCTCTGTTTACTCGAACCCTTGCGCCGCCCTTGTGCCTTTTGCTTTCTTTTTTCTTTTTCGGTGCCCTGATCAGTGTTTTCATTGTGGCCATGTGTGACGTAATTGTTGACTGCTGTCCGCTTTATCCTATTAGTAAATCGATATATTCTTATTAGTCCCCTACCGGTTTACCGGAGGGGACTTTAAGTTTAGCCTCCGTCCGTCTGTCTGTCTGTCCGTCTGTCTGTCCGTCCGTCAATCAGTCCGTCCGTCCACAAAACTGGATCCCGGGATAACGCAAAAAGTACTGAACATATTTTATGAAACTTGATATTTATGGATAGATGACAGTATGGAGATTATGCACGTCTTTTTCTTCTCCTATGTTGAAAATTCTGGTTGCTATGGCAACAAATATACTGAAAATATGGCAAACTTTACACATAACCTGGATCCCGTTATAACGCAACAAGTACTGAAAATATTTTTATGAAACTTGATATATGGATAGATGGCAGTATGGAGATAATGCACGTTTTTTATTTTTCTTCCTATGTTGAAAATTCTGGTTTATATGGCAACAAATAGACTGAATTTCAAGATTTCTGATTCTAGTTTTTTACGTTCTTTTTTCACTGTAAGTTCTTTATTTCTTAAGGTATTTTTTTGCAAACTTTAAAAATACGTTTCTAGTCAGCAACAACATCATATGTGACAAGATTTACAACTCTTGCACAAAATTTATCAGAATTTCCTCCCTTGAACTTCTAATGAAAAAAAATGTTTAATTTTTTTAAAGTTTCTTTTACTTCAAATTCAAAGTAAACATTCATTATCAACACCTTCATTACTAATTGTTCTTTGTTACACTCACATGGTGTATGACGTCTTGCATCTTTATTTCAAGAGTTATCTCCTTTTTAAGAATTTTGCTTTTAAAAATGTTATATTAAAAAAAATAACTTTAGAATGTCCTTCATTCCATCTGTCTGTCTGTACATAAAAACTGTTTCCTGTGATCACTTTAAAAGAACAAAAGAACTTTTTCAACAAATTTATTTAAAATAGAGACATAAATGAATGGCCAATGGCCTTTCAGAATGTTGCTGGGGTTCTAACCGGTAGGGGACGTATGGTTTGCTTTCAATACTATGATAATTGCTTGTTTGTAAAAGGCTTCATACTGGAAACATTGATCGGAATTTGGAAAAACATAACTGAAATAAAGTACAGAACAATATTTTACAGCTAATTGCCAACGATTTGTTTTGAATATCCGACTCAGATTACAGTGTATTCCTTCATATAGAAAGGAAAAACCTTGTTCATTTGAACTCGTTGACACCAAGTTGTATTTAACTTCAGCTAAAGGTCCAATGTGTTTAGAATGTCTTGATAAACCATAAAATAAAACGAAGATCAACAAGGGAAAGCAGCCTCCACAATATCCCATCCCGAAACAACATGTTCGTGAAGTTGGCATCCTAACAGCCTAGCAGCAAAACAGCATGAGGTTTGCAGCCCAGCAGCCTAGCAGCCTGAAGTAAACTAAGAATAGTACATACATTAAAACCGTCGGAAATGTTATTTGAGAAATTCCTAAGATAAATCCACGCCTTTTTAATATTGTGATCTTTATTTTTAAGATATTGAACGCTTTTAGTTAATTCTGACGCATCGAAATTTGTAAAGTGAGCAGCCTTACAGCTTGGTAGCCTTAAGCTAAGGATAGTACAAACATGAAAACCGACGGAAATGAATCAGAAGCACTTCCTTAGACCATTCAATATCGTGATTTTTATTTTTTAAGATGTTGAACTTTATTCTTTTTATTCTGACGCTTTGATATTTATTACGTAGCAGCCTTGCAGCTTAAAGAAAACCAAGACTAATACAAATATTTAAACGGTCGGAAATGCATCTGTGGCACTTAATTGAACTATTCAACGCTTTTTTCAGTATCGTGATCTTTATGTTTTAAGATGTTGAACTTTTTTTATTCAGGTGAAGTTAGGCCTAGTAGCCTGGTAGCCGAATGCAAACTAAGGATAATACGAACATGAAAACCGTCGGAAATAAATCAATAGCACTTTCAGGTTTTTTCAATATCGTGATCTTTGTTTTTTAAGATGTTGAATTTTAAAGTTAATTTTCTGATGCCTCATCGGAATATATGAAATCAGCAGCCTAGCAGCCTAAAGAAAACTAAGAATAGTACAAACTTGAAAACGGTCAGAAATGCATCTGTGGCATTTACTTAGACCATTCCACGCTATTTTCAATATTTTAAGATTATGAAATTCAAAGTTTTCAGTTTCAGGCATCTT